TGGTTTTTTTTTTTTTTTTTTTTTTTACTGGGATAGATAATTAAGGTTGAAAACAAATTTTAATGAAGAGTTGAGTTATACTTAATGATATTTGGGTCCTTGTAGGAACCGTTATTTGACAGCCTTATATAATATAAAAACCAGAGATCTCTCGGGAAAATTATCACTAACTGTTTTGAGTACACGTAATCAAATTTTAGCTAATTTAACCAACACATCTTAAACTAGCAGCCTGGGGTAAATTTTTTTTTGGAGGGGGCTGCATTGGGTCTTCGTTGCTGCCCACGGGCTTTCTCTAGTTGCGGCGAGCAGGGGTTACTCTTTGTTGCGGTGTGCGGGCTTCTCACTGCGGTGGCTTCTCTTGTGGAGCATGGGCTCTAGACGCGCGGGCTTCAGTAGTTGTGGCTCGCGGGCTCTAGAACGCAGGCCCAGCAGTTGTGGCACACGGGCTTAGTTGCTCCGTGGCATGTGGGATCTTCCCGGACCAGGGCTCGAACCCGTGTCCCCTGCATCGGCGGGCGGATTGTTAACCACTGGGCCACCAGGGAAGCCCCGAGCCGGGGTAAATTTTAATTAAAATTATACCTGACAAAGGTAAAATATTTCTTTCACTCAAAGTTTTAAATGGTGGCACAGAATGTATGACAAATGGTGACAAATGTTATCAGAAATAAGAAATACATTCTCAGTTTCCCATCCCCCATAATGGCAGCCATTAGACATAAATGGCTGTTTATGTTCAGATTTAATGCTCAGATGCTGCACATCTGAGTACTCAGCATCCAGCTTGGCTAGTGGCTGGCACATGGGATCTCACAGATACTGAACATTTCCTTCATCACGAAGGTTCTATTGGGGAGCTCAGCCTTAGACTTGCTTACATACTTGTAGTCTTATAAATCATTTGATTCTAAATGTAATATTTTAAAAGATTCTAAAATTAGCAATGTCAACATAATTCAGAATATCGTCAAGTTTTACTCATTTTATTCAGTATTTTATTGATAATCTTTATTAGGAAAGGAAGATACCTAGAAAAAATAACAGAAAACGTTGTTGAATGAAGACCTCAATATCTAGTTACCGCCTTACCGTATTTCTAGACAACCCAACTTCAAAGCAATGTCCTGGTCCACTTGATCGGCGATCTCCAACATATAATCGCTCTTCACCTACAATAAAAAGGAATGGGTAAAATAATGTTGCTGTAGGAGAATATGTTTTAAACTTAGTCATTAAGTAAATGTTTACTGGGTGCCATTTACATGCTTGATACACACTATGTCAATAATCACGCTAGATGCTGGATATAAAATGAGTAATACCAAAGAATAGTTAAAGAGTCAAACAGTCTTCCTTTGTGAAGAACATATATGATCTATGAGCACTTAAACGTCATCTGAATCACAATAACGTCAAGCTGCTTTCTACCCTCCATGTTGTCAAAGGGAAAACAAGAAGGGAGATCTCCATTTCCAGGCAATATAGCGGTGGCTATATTTTCTGAACTCAAACTACAGTCCCAGCACCATTTTTTGGACCTCAATGCAAAGGCAAAGAAAACTAACATTATTTCAAAATCCATTTAATCCTGCAACTGATGTGATTCCACCTAACCATCGACTATAAGTGATTCATCTGCAAAGTGACAACATGCTTGAAGTGTGATATAGAGAAGGATCTAATAAATTGTACAAAGGCCTTCCAACCAATAACTGTGAGGGACTGATATCAGTATCTGAGAGCACTCATCAGTGTGAAGATGTTTTCAAAGATGAAATATGTAAAATCTCACAGCTTAGCATCAAGAGATCAAGATCTGCAATTGATTTTGATGACAGGGAGCGTTCATTCTGAATTTCGATTAAGCGAAATGTTACTCCTCCCCCAAAAAGGAACTTCTGTTCCTCTCATTAGTAGACCGTATTACAAAACAACTGCACTCAATTATTATATTATGAATTTCACCAATACAAAACTCCGTGGAAATCTGTCTTGTCTCTTGTTATATAAGTATTTCATAATACCCTCCCCTCCATTTGGCCTCTTGGTCCTCAACCCTAAAATATCTACTCTCTGGTCCTTCACAAAAAAAGTGTTTCCTCTGCCCTAGGAAAAACTCCACAGATCCTGTTCTATTGCTACCTAGCCTGTCAGTTCGCTTGTTCTAAAGATTTCTAGTCCCAAGTTAACTACTTTGCCAACCTTATAGTGATAGTTCATAAGCTTCCCTTGAAAAGACCCCCAAACCTCCCAACCTCCTTCTTCCCGTTATTTTAATTCCCTGGCAAGACCAGCAGATACTGAAACCAGCCACCCACCTCCTTCTCCACGCTTACTGCTGAGCAACTGGAGAAACTCTGTTCTGTGCTTCGCTTTACGCTCACAAAGACAAACCTCAAATGATCGCCTGAGACTGCTTGGAAATTCGGCAATGCCTGCCTAGGAAGCTTGGCAACACACTGATTCACACTTTCTCCAGTCAACCAGCCACATCTCTTTCTTACAGAGAAAATAAAAGTCTTCAGACGGGGATGCCCTCTTTAACGTACCAGAACCTATAACCTGAGGGGCACGAGTGCTCACCTACTCACTCCTCTCAGGATGGAGGCGATGCCCGCTCAGCCAGCAGTGGTCTATTTCTGACCTAAACGCCATTTCCTCTGAAACCTTTGCTCTATTTTCTGCATTAGCGCCTCTACCTAGGTGGTCCATAAACACTGACTGACTGAAGACTGAGCAAATGAACAAAGAATAAAGTCATCAAACTACGGTTTGGATACCTCTGTGTGTAAATGTTATTTTCCATAAGAGTTACAAGCAATAGTCATTTCTATTCCTTAAATATAGCAGGCATTTAAGACTGATTCAATAGAAATGAATTATTCAACCCACTAAATTAAGTAAACAGCTGTGATTCTAGAATCACTCTGTTCACACTTCAATTGGCTCTTTCTCCTCTATAGCAAAAAATAAATCCAAATTTTAAAACTAACTTTTTTGCATCATAAGTAGGTTTATTACTAAACACAAAAATGGACAGATGAATCAAGACTGTATTTATGTGAGTCAGAGAAACACCACAGTTGTTCTGACTGAAGCATTCAGTGGATCTTAGCTGATGGTCTGGTGCAGACTTTGAAGCAACCAGAGCAGAACAGCAATTTCATGTTGAGGAAAATGCATTATTACAAAACTATTTTAAGATTAGTTACTATAATTTTTAAACACTATTCAAAGGTGGAAAAATGTAATCGCATGCTTTATTCAGTCATCAAAACCAAATTCATATTAGTTGCAAAAATGAAAAAAAAAGAGAAAATTAACTTAACGATCTTTATGGAAAATCCCTTTATTTTTGAACATGACTTAAAAGTTCTGAGAGTTGTTTTTTCTTACAGTAACAATCTACTACTCTTGACTCAGAGCTGTATGACTACGGCCTGAGGCCCATTCACTGCGTGCAGTGATCCATGTTTTCTGCCAAGTGTGTTGATCCACCATGGAACCAGCCATCTCAGCAGACCCTCCCCTCCTCCTTACCCCACCCTGTAGCAGCTGCCCTCTGTGAGGACAGAGAGCAACCCCCCTGGCAAGGTCCCTGTCACCCAGGCTCCAGAGGGGCTGTTCTCTGAACCACTGTGCACATCACGTCCTGATGTTGGGCTCATGCAATTTTCTTCAACACGCAGTGTTTTTAACACGCAGTGTTCATTTCTTTATAAAACATTTCTAACTTTCATGCTTTCATTTGTGAAATAAATGCAATTTATTGAACATTTAAGTGTGCGTATGTATAGGTATATAGTTGCTTACAGTAAATATACTCACACTGCCACGTCAGACAGATTTATACATAACTCTCATTTAATATTCACAGCATCACTGTGAGTTGGACCCTACTATAATCCCCAATTAAGAGCCTTAGAAAGAACCTAAAAAGAATGAAGATGATAGCAGAGGAACTACTTATTATTCCAGGGGTTAGGTATTATGCTGTTTTAGATACATTATTTATAGTCTGTTCAATAACTCTTCAAGATAGGCCTTAGTCCTATTTTATACATAAAAAACAGAAAGCTTAATTACTCAAAATTGATGTACTCAAGGTCACACAGCAAGCGTTAAAGTTAAAACTCAAAAACGCATCCACTGACCCCCATAACTCAAACTTCAGTGTGTTCCTATACCTTCTTGTGAACCCTCAGAAAGTGTAGGCATTCTCCACTAGAAGGAAGATTAATGACCAGTAAGGACCACAGCTCATAACCCTGGTAGCCCCAGGGTCTAACATGATGGCTTCACATGCATGTCTTAGTTTGTTTTACCACTGTCATTGTGTTATATTCTTTTTTATACCATGGATTACTACTGTTTATTAACTCCAAATCCAGCAAATTTCCAAGAGTCTTTCAAGCAAAGATCTCTGAATGTTGTTCTTTGTTTTATTAAATTAATTCGTTTCCATATGGATGTCAATTTCCTGCTTAAAAAATAGGATGTATCTAGAGGACTTCCTTCTGTGGGCAAGTATTATATTTACATTCATGAGTTTTTTCACCTTATTCTGCAACAGAACTAAAGCACAGGTTTTAATATAAAAACCACTCACATCTCTAATAAAAGTACTAATCCTAAATTGCTCCATAATTTATTCCATATTCCAAGTCAATGCTTTGGCTATCACATGAGATCGTTTGCCTTGTTTTGGTCTCTTCTGAATATTCTGTCAGCTACATGAATTTATCAAATAGACCTGAAAGTCCTCGATAGTGTGTGTAAAGAAAATGGGGCTGAGGGCAGACAAATGTGTATATAACCATCTACATCATACACCACCTGAGTGATCCGAGGCAGTCGGCCAAGTTGGCTCAACTGTCAGGCACTCCTCCCTGAGTTCTGTGAGAGCAAAGAGTGGAGTGTCTGTATGCAGAAGGAACCCAATGGCAGTTCTCAATTAAAACAAACTCCTTGGGCTTCCCTGGTGGCGCAGTGGTTGAGAGTCCGCCTGCCGATGCAGAGGACACGGGTTCGTGCCCCGGTCCGGGAGGATCCCACATGCCGCGGAGCAGCTGGGACCGTGAGCCATGGCCGCTGGGCCTGCGCTCCGCAACGGGAGAGGCCACAGCAGTGAGAGGCCCGCTTGCCGCAAAAAAAAAAAAAAGGAGATGACCAAAGCTAGAAAACCTGTACAACAATAAGTGTTTCCATTGTTTCTTTTTTCTTGTCCACATATAATGGAAAAGTAACCACAAATATACTAGAGGTACTTGAAGAATCAGCAGTTTTTAAAAAGAAGATCTAATGTTGAGAGTGCATGCGCACACACACAAACCAATGTGATTTCTCAAATTCCAAAGGCATACAGTTCCTTTGTTTCTTGGATTTTTTTGACATCTTCTAATAAATCTCATCCAAATTTTTGAACATCAGGGCATTAGCATTAAAACTCTGTCATCACTAATAAGTCATTCGAGAGAATCAATTAGGCACCTAAAACCCATGTCTTACTGTGTTGTGGACACAATGGTGAAGGCAGACTTTACGTCTGCCCTCACTGAACGGCACACTCTATTAGTGGGGGCAACAGATAATAACAGGGAAATACAACGCACACACAACAGACCCTTGACTGCCAGGGGTTAGGGGAGGGGCAGGCTGTGACCAAGCAGCACCAGGGAGCTTCTCTGTGTTGGTGAGACAGTTCTGTGTCTTCATTACAGTAGTAGTCACATGCATCTGTACCTACGATAAAACTGCATAGAACTACACACACACTCTTACACACAAACACAGGAGTGCACGTAAAAACTGGTAAAATCTGAACATGATCTGTAGTCTACTTAGTAGTACTGTGTCAATGTCAATTTCCCTATTTTTATATTGTACTATATCATGATTTTAACGGAAACTGCTCAACCATAACCATCTGTCAGAACTCACTGAGCTGTACACTGAAGTTAGTGATTCTTTTTTTTTTTTTTTTTTTTGCAGTCCGTGGGCGTCTCACTGTTGTGGCCTCTCCTGTTGTGGAGCACAGGCTCCAGACGCGCCGGCTCAGCGGCCATGGCTCACAGGCCCAGCCGCTCCGTGGCATGTGGGATCTTCCCGGACCAGGGCACGAACCCGTGTCCCCTGCAACAGCGGGCGGACTCTCAACCACTGCGCCACC